TTTGTTTCCGTTTTTTCCAAAACTTTGTCGTTGCTCACATGCTCGATCCATGATATCCTGAGCATCCTTCTGGAGAACCACATTTCTGTTGCTTCATATCTCTTCTTTTTTTTTTTTTTGTTGAGGAGATGTCCAGCACTCGCCGCCATATTGATGGAAGGCAAAACGCTTTCTTAAGATGATTAAAAGTGAGCAGTTTCGTTTTTAAGCGTTAAAATGAACAAGACGCTTCTTGCCACAGGTCCTGTTCTGGCATCTCGTCTACAGTCACTCTGTCACAAATGTGCTGTGGCTTCCCTCTGTCTTTTCTACAAGTAATTTCATGGCAACTGATCTGACGAGCTAGTTTCACTGGTTCCCAAACCGCATGAATTCAAGCGTGCTGCTGGGTTGGCATCTCGGTCCCACCCTTTCACTATCGAAACGATTAAATGTAACCACGTCTTCTACTCCAGCAGCTTCTTATCTCGCACTTCCAGACAGTGGAACTCCTTTCCTCTTAGTTGCTTCCGTGATAGCTATAATCTTCAAATATTCAAATGTAATATCAATCGACATCTTCTGATGCCTTGATATTGATCCCCGTCCTTCTCTATATCCTTTCCTCAAACACGCGTCTTTACTCTTGCTCTCAATCCTCTGTAACCCTTTGCGTGCTAGTGGCACTCCCGCCTTCCTTGCGGCGAAATGCTTAAAAAGAAAAATAGCAACAGATTTTATGTCATTTCCGAGATCAGCTGGCAATTTCATTTTATCGAACTTATAAGAATGACTATTAAGATTGAATTAATTTTTAAAAATTTTGACGTCTTTATTTAAAAACTTTTTCGTTTAACGGTTAGTTTCGACACATCCGTTTGTTTGTTGTCAGAAGCCATAAACGCCGTAAGACATTGATGAGTCTATTCTTCATTCGGAACCCAATATTACGAATCTTTTATTTTTCAGATTGAATGCTGTTATCGCTTTCGGTGGTAACCAATAAAAAAGGCTTGGAAGGAAACTCCCATCCATATTAGAAAGAGCTATAACATCTACATGAGAAGACTAATTTCTTGTAAAAGTAATTTAAAAAAAAAAAAAAGATTAAACCTATTACCACTAACCCTAACAGAACCTATTGGCCGGTGCTAAAATGTTACAAACGAAGAATGATTATTTTCACGGCTTATCAACCCTTTGCAAGTTATTTAAAGGCAGGAAATATTTTTAGATTGTATGATTTGCTGATGCAAGTTCTACTAATTAATCTGGCATCTCGGCTTCAGTCACTTTTCCATGGGTGTAATGTAGCTTCCCTGTGCCTTTTCTGTAAATACTTTCATGGTAATTGTTCTGACGAACTTCCCTCTATGGTACCCAGACTTCATGTATTTATGAGCCCGAAATGCGATTTGCATGTCGGGAACACTAGAATCAAGCAGACGCGGAAGTTTAAATATCTGGGAAATATTTTGTCAGAGAACGACACATGCGACACTGAGATCCGTAGACGTATTGGGATGGCCAAGGACGCATTCCAAAAGCTGGTCAGAGTATTGCAAGACAAGAGGATTTCTTTGGTAACAAAGAAACGAATAGTGAACTGTTACGTGACATCTGTCCTCCTTTACGGCAGCGAATGTTGGACGGTCTCCTCAAAGATGAAGAAGAGACTCGAGGCGACGGAGATGTGGTCCTACAGAAGGATGCTAAGGATATCATGGAGCGAGCGTGTGAGCAACGATGAAATCTTAGAGAGGTTGCAAACAAGGAGGAAGCTTATACTTAACATCAGGAAGAAGCAACTGAAGTCTCTGGGACACATAATGAGGAAGGAGAGCCTGGAGAATCTGATAACCACGGGTCGAATAGAGGGAAAGAGAGACAAGGAAAAACAACGCGTGATATACCTGGCGGACTAAACATGGTCTGGAGGAGGAAGTAGAGGAAAGGAACTTGTTGTGAGCTGCAAAGGATAGAAGGAGGTGGAGAGCCATGATCGCCTGAAAGGACATGGCACATAAAAAGAGAGAAAAAAAGGGGGATAAGAAATGTATTTCTACATTTCCCAAGGATATTTGCGCATAGGTGAATATAACGAACCCAATTGGAATTGGAACTCAAAGAACGGAGTTTCATTTTAAGAACCGTAATCTATTACGCCAGCCACACATCCAAGGTTAAAGTACCCGATATTCCCAAGCGGTTATCAATATCAGTACACTTTGTGGTGTCCTCACAATAGATACGGGTCGGGAACTGATGACGTCAGGAAGGTATGTCTTCAATGATTTTAGTGTCGGGACGGCTTGCTTACAATGACAGCGGGACTGTGGTTTCGGTCCTTGCCGAGTTGCTTCACGACAACGATTCTGTGTCAGACGAGGCTAAGTTAGTAAATGTTTGTTGTGGATGCGTGTTCTAAAAGACTGTTTTTTTTTCTCTGTGGGTAGTGGTGAGGGATCACCGTGTTGGTCAGTATTCGGGAGATTTATCATCTGCGTCTCTTCCCTCGCTGAGTGTGAGGCTGATAAATCTTGTTGGCCAGATGATTTATCTTGTGGGTGGCAATGCCTTCCAGACTGGATGCATTCGTCCTGATAGTATATGTGTTAACCCTTTCAGACAAAACAAACTAAGTACAGGGATCCTCTCTCTCTCTCTCTCTCACTCTCACTCCCTCTCTCTCTCCCTGTGTGTGTGTGTGCGTGCGTGTGTGTGTGTGTGTGTTTGGGTGTTGAGTGCAAGATTTGGCTTTGTATGCGGAGACTTAACGGGATACCCGGATGAGAATCGAAACTACCAGCGACAAGCTTTGCTAGCATAATCGGGCGCGCATTCGTGCGCAAATATTTAACTTTCGCTGGTGTATTGCTCGGTTAGTGTGACGGATATATCTGCGAAAAGTGGAGGCGACGAACCAAGTTCAAATTCCAGGCTAGTCGGTTGTTTTTTTGTATAATGTAATTTTTTATAATATATTTTTTAATGTAATTATTTTTTATAATGTAATATTTTTATAATGTAATATTTTTTATAATGTAATTTTTTATAATATATTTTTTAATGTAATTATTTTTATGATGTAATATTTTTACAATGCAATTTTATAGTTCTTTTATATAACGTAATAAACTTTGTTATTTTTTTAATAATGTAATATTTTTATAATGTAATATTTTTTGTAATGTAATTTTTATAGTATATATTTTTATAATGTAATAATTTTTTTATAATGTAATATTTTCTATAATTTAATTTTTTATATTTTAAAATGTTTTATAATGTAAGATGTTTTTTATAATGTAATATATTTTTATAATGTAAGTTTTTTTTTAAAATGTAAGATTTTATTTTTATAATATATGATTTTTTATAACGTAATATTTTTTATAATGCAATAATGCCTGAATTAACTTCATAAGTCTAATATCAAACCAAAAATTGAATAATGCTACCATATTTGGCTTCGAACAACCCAATCCTTTTTTACAGTAATGTTCACTGTACAAGGCCCGGTGGCCACTCGAGGTAGAGGCTTACGTTAGGAGATAGTTTCTACGAATAAGAGAAACTAACGGTTAACTCTAGCCTTGAACAGATTAAGAGTGTAGTAATCAGGGAAACATCCCTTTGGGAGTCGATTCCACAGAGCAGTGGTTCATGGGAAAAAGCTGTTTGAGTGGAACTTACTTCTCACTGATTTAATACGAAGGGAACACCAGGCCACAGCAAACTACTTGGTTAACCAAAAAAATGCAGAGTTGAGTTAAAGGGAAATAATAACTGAGGCATATCCGGAAGAGGCATGGCATGTGGAACTAGAACAATCTACCCAGATGGAGGAAATAAAGGCTTCGGTTCGAAATTTCAATCACCTGATGAAGGCCGTAGCGTAGAACGGCCGAAACGTTGTAAATGTGGCAATGAAGATGAGGAAAACAGTCCGAATAAAGTAAATAATGCATGTATTCATAATACCACATCTCACAGATATAGACACATATTCCAATTACCTGAAGAAGGCTGGCACGTACAACTACCGAAACGTTGTGAATATGGCAGTGAAGATGAGGATAATAGTCCGAATAAAGTAAATAAAGCAAGTAAACATAATACCCCATCTCAGAGATATAGAGGCCAAAACGTTGTGAATATGGCAATGAAGATGAGGATAACAGTCCGAATAATGTAAATAATACAAGTAATCATAATACCTCATCTCAGAGATATAGAGGTTGAAACGTTGTGAATATAACAATGAAGATGAGGACAAAAGTCTGAATAATGTAAATAATGCGAGTAATCATAATACCTCATCTCAGATATATATACAGATCTTCTCAGAAGTCTGTTTCCCAAAGCAGCAGGTCTTGTGAAGAATCTGTCCAAGTGGAACGTCCTCCTTACTAATAGAATACGAAGGGAATGAGGATGATTCGTGTCCTTGGACGCGGCATGTCTGCAAGAGTGAGTTCTCTGACGGTCTACCTTCCTTAGCTCCACCAATTCAAACCTTTACAACTAAGACTAGTTTGTTTACTATACGACACGGAATTTTAGTTTATTTACCTTATTTAGACTCTTACTATTGTCCTAATCTTTGTTGTCATTATCGCAACGTTTCAAGCACTCCGGCCTTCATCAGGATTTTGTCGATCCGAGTAACGTTCAGGGGATTTTCTAAATTAACGAACGTTGGCACAAGACTGCAAGTACGGGGTACATAATGATGTAATTACTGTAATCCCTACTTCGTAGTACTGGTCAGCCAGACTACCTCGATTTATTGATATCGATTTGTTTTATTGTTTATTTAACGGTACATCAACACCTTATGGGTTATTTAATGTCGACATTTAATTTTCTGGGAAGCTGTCAAGTAATAAAAATACGTTATTCTGCTTTCACAGTTGAATACATGGTAGATGATACTTAGCTTTTGTGCATATACATGTTTGTGTAGACATGATTAGAGGCGATGATATGTGTGTTTTATATTGTAGTTTCGGAATACAGGTTGATTTAAATTGAGAAATTGTAGGATATTATATGGATTAACGTCATGAAAGAGTTTTTTCACGTTGGTCGTTTCTTTGGTTGATTTTGTTTAGCGGGCATATCAACCTTTATGCGGGGAGAGGGGCTCTCTTTCCGGAGGGATTCGTTGGTTTGGTTTGGTTTGTTTTACGGCATATCAACACCTCAATGGGTTATTTAATGCCGACAAGATTTTTATTGCTGCTAATATTTTTATCTATCTATCTATCTATCTATCTATCTATCTATCTATCGATCTATCTATCTATCTATCTATCTATCTATCTCATTTTCTTATCTATCTATCTATCTATCTATCTATCTATCTATCTATCTCATTCTATTTTCTATCTATCTATCTTAGTATATATTGGTTTGGTTTGTTTTTGTTTTACGGCATATCAACACCTCAATGGGTTATTTAATGCCGACAAGATTTTTTTATTGCTAATATTTTTATTTATCTATCTATCTATCTATCTATCTATCTATCTATCTATCTATCACATGTCGTATCTATCTATCTCATGTCGTATCTATCTATCTATCTATCTATATATATATATATATATATATATATATATATATATATATTGGTTTGGTTTGTTTTACGGCATATCAACCTCAATGGGTTATTTAATGCCGACAAGATTTTTATTGCTGCTAATATTTTTATCTATCTATCTATCTATCGATCTATCTATCTCAGTATATATTGGTTTGTTTTGTTTTGTTTTACGGCGTATCAACCTCAATGGGTCATTTAATGCCGACAAGATTTTTATTGCTGCTAATATTTTTTATCTATCTATCTATCTATCTATCTCAATATATATCGGTTCGGTTTCTTTTCTTTTACGGCATATCAACATCACTGGGTCATTTAATGCCGACAACTTTTTTTTCCTGCTAATATTTTTGCTTTGTCAAAAATCTATTTCTGTTAATATTTTTTCCTCAAAAATATATAGCTGGTAATCTTATTTTTCCAAAAACGCATAGCTGGCAATATCATTTTTTTCAAAAACGTATATCTGGCAACATTATTTTTCAAAAACATATTATCAGAGGCCCTGCTGCTGGGCACAGCTCATCGTCACATCCAGGACGCGGATGTATTTCTTCGTCATACCCAAGACGCGGATATAGTCTGAGTGTTAACTATTTACCCAGAGCTGCTACCCAACAGGTGCCAGCACCCCGGGTCAGGGTGGACCCGGGAACACCAGAAATTAAGAGGTGGTTTCACGCTCCTCAAAACCTCCTGATCAGAGGCCTTGCTGTTGGACGTAGTTCATCGTCCCACCCAGGACGCGGATGTAGTTTATCGTCATACCCAGGACGCGGATGTAGTTTATTGTCATACCCAGGACGACCTTCCGGGGGAATTAACAGAGTGTGGGGAAAAGGGTTTTTTCCCCGTCGGAGTAAATGCTGCGGTTGTAGTATCTGTTCCGTGCGGGAGGCTTTCTCTCCTCCCTTGCGTGCCCCCCCACACCGTTGCATGACATCTGTTACGTCGCGTTGATATGACCGGCTATGACGAGCTTAGACAATCTCTAACCAGCTTAGACAAGCTGTGACCAGCTAAGACCAGATTAGACAAGCTCTGTCTACCCCAATCAGCTGGTTATGAGGCGCCAGTGTTCCGCCTTCGTTCATTTTCCGACGTGGAGCACGTTGTCAGTGGCAATTTGAGACGTACGCTACGGAAGCATTTTATGGCATCTCTACTATCAGCCTGGTTATGTCACACGTTGAAACATATATAATATTATATGCATTACCTGTTTTAGACGCTAAATATAAAGTTTGTAGTAACATACGCACACACAAAGACACGCGCACACACACACACACATATCTATATATATTTGGTTGGTTTGATGTGAGTTTGTGATCCTGGGTTTCACGCTTTTGCGATCGTCAGACAAACTGATTTTTTTTTTTAAATTTTGGGTTTATGTAGATTAACACCAATACACGCAATCTACATAAACCCAAAATTTTAAAAAATTAATAAAAATTTAAAAATTTAAAATGATGCGTTTGGCCCAAGAACCACTAACGAACGTGTGGCACAACGGTGGTTCAAGAAATTTCGCAATGGTGACGAGAGCCTTGAAGATGAAGACAGTCGCGGCCGGCCGACTGCGGTTGATAACGAACATTTGAAAGCCTTAATTGAAGCCGATACTCGCAGAACCCCATGAGAAGTTGCTGTTGAACTCGAGGTCGACCACTCAACAGTCGTTCGCCATTTAAAGCAAATAGGGAAGTCAAAAATGTTGGATAAATGGGTGCCGCATGAATTGAACGATGATAAAAAAAATCGTCGTTTTGAGGTGTCTTCTACGCTCCTTCTGCGCAACAAAAACGACCCATTTCTCGAGCGGATTGTGACGTGTGATGAGAAGTGGATCCTCTACGACAACCGACGACGTTCGGCACAGTGGTTGGATGCCGGAGAAGCTCCACAACACTTCCTGAAGCCGAAATTGCACCAAAAAAAGGTTATGGTGACTGTTTGGTGGTCTGCGGCCGGTCTCATCCATCACAGCTTCTTGAATCCTGGCGAAACGATTACGGCGGAGAAGTACTGCCGACAAATTGACGAAATGCACCAGAAGCTCCAACGTATGTGCCCGAGATTGAAGGGACCAATTCTCCTCCATGACAACGCTCGCCCGCATGTTGCTCAACTGACCCTGCAGAAGCTGAACGGGTGGACTACGAGACTCTGCCTCATCGCCATATTCACCGGACCTCTCGCCCACCGATTATCACTTTTTCAAGCATCTCGACAACTTCCTGCGCGAAAAATGCTTCAAAAGCCGAGATGATGCCGAATCGGCCTTCAGTGACTTCATCGCTTCCAGAACTCCGGATTTCTATGCTAATGGGATAAATAAACTTGTTTCTCGTTGGCAAAAATGTGTCGATTCTAATGGTTCTTATTTCGATTAATAAAGTTTATTATGAAAGGAGTTATGATCTTTTGAAGTTGAACGTCAAAAAACTACATTATTTTTGCACCAACCTAATATTAACTAGGCTCTTAACATTTTATGAAAATCAACTCCTCACAAGCCAGTTTGGCTTTCGATCAGGTAAAGGATGCTATGATGGTATATCTGATCAAAGAACTAAGGTATTCTTTATCTCTCTAATAGGAAACTGTATACCTGCTTTGTCGACCTCCTAACAATAGATGACCACATCAATAAAAACTTACTCTTCTCATCTATTTGAAACTGCCTTCCAAGCTCCGAATGCGCTGAAAACATCGATCAAGTAGAGGAACTCTATCGATGTTGCGAAGACCACAATGCGGAAACATTCCTCAAATCTCATCGAAGACGAAACTAGGCTTTATAATCTTTTCCTAGAATATATATCCTGATTATTTACAAAAACAAATGTGTTGAGATAAGCACTGACCATTTAAACATTCCGTGTTAGACATTTTCATGACGGTCATCTTCGAGTATAGAATCCAGAGGTTGGCAGTGAATATTTCGGAGACAGTAGGAAAGCGTAGTGCAGGTTCGCAGTGGATATCGCAGCAGAGCGTAGTTCTTCCGTCTGTCCTGTTCGCCGGACAAGTTGCCTCTGGTAAAACAAAGATGGCCGCCTTTATACACGACGGATACAGTGTTGGGCGGCTTCCGATTGGACAACCTTCTATTGGTCGACTATAAAGGGAAATGAGTCATTTTGACTCGCTCACTAGTTCTATACGGTATAGACCCAAAAAACCGTAACATTCCGTAGCACATCCGAAAATGAAACGACCATTAAATGATTCTCCTTTCTCTCCTGAGACAAATGTACTGATGATGAAGAGGTCTATGTTTTCGACATAGTTATTCATAGTTGGAATAAGAATTAATTTGGGCAGAAAATCAAGTATTTTTTTAAGCATTTCATTCCAAGCAAGGTGGGAGTGTCACTAGCACGCAAGTAGTTGCAGAGAATTGACAACAAGAGTAAAAAGACGTGTTTGAGGAAAGGATAAAGAGAGGGACGGGGATCATGATCAAGGCAGCAGAAAATGTCGATGGAATGTTTGAAGACTATAGCTTTCCGGGAAGCAAGTAAGAGGAAGAGAGTTTCACAGACGGGAAGGGCGAGAGGAGACGCTGCTGGGGTAGATGATGCGGTTACATTTAATACTTTCGACAGTGAAAGAGTGGGACAGAGATGCCAACCACTAGACTAAAGTAGGATATTTTGACGAGAGAAAAATTTAATTTATAAAATGCTTTTCTTTTGTCATAATACATTTTCTAATATTTATGTCTCACTTTTTAAACCGTGTATAACTTTTTCTTATTTAAATTACTAAACAACTGCTTTTGGGGCCAATTTAAATAATTACCAATGGTGGCCTAAAACTTTTAAACTGTAGTACGTATATATATATATATATATATATATATATAAAATGAATGATAATAAAATCTCCTTGATTCAAATACTCTTCTTGTTTTTGCAATGGCATTCACCCGAGGTGGGTCGAATTTGGAATTCCACCCGTATATTTAGCACATGAGATTTGATTATAGTGGTGAAGGATTCGTGCAGGACCATCCACACTTTTTGAAGGGCCGAATACAGAGACCTGGTGCACTACGTGCCACAAGGTCCCCAGACGACCCTCCGCAGGTTTTGAATTCAGAGTTGTCCTTCTCTTCGACCAGTTGCCAGTCTGTCCTGCTATTTACCTGGGGGGAGAAGAAGAGGACTCACACCTTTCCCAAGGGCATTAGCACGTAAGTGAATGTAATGGATTCGACTGGAAATCGAACTCGGCTCTCCGATTCCTTTATCCAAGCCGCTATTCATTACTCCACCGTGCCTCCCCAAGGAGGCTCTAATACAGGTATGAATAAAACAAACAATTACAAAGAAAAATCGATTCTCTTCAAGCCTAAATCAGGTGGTGATAGTTAGGGTAATTAATTTTATTCATGATGTCCACTTATGCTCAGAGATTCCATGATATATTTGTCTTTATTTTATTTTCAAACTGATGAAACCAAAGAGAAAATACATTTTCTCCGGGGAAACGCGTCTTTCATAAAAATTTACACTTTGTTTCATTATGTTTTGTTTCGGATACTATTACGTATCTTAAAAAAGACACATAGATAGGTAAGTCGGTAGATGAACGCTTAAATTCATGCAGTTGGGGTACCAGTGAATGTAGCTTGTCAGCGCAGTTGCCATGAAAATATGTATAGAAAAAGATAGAGGAAAGCCACAATCACGTCCGTGGGAAAGTGACTGTAGACGAGATGCTAGGTCAGGACCTATCACATTGCGTATCCGTCTTTGGATTTTGTCGATAACTTCAAGATAACAACGAGAGCATCAGACCATATATGGCAACAGTATTCAACGCCAGGACGAATGGTTGATTTGTAGATTTGAAGGATCGACTCAGAAGAGCAAAACCTTCTGACACGACACAGGGAACCAACTTTCCAAGAAATAGGACACAACATAAAACTTTCCAAACCAGAAACAAGGATCTGGAATTGGAAGGAAAGCAGTGTTGGCACCTACCTTGAATCCATCCATAAACATACAGGACGAGGAATTAGTAAATACTAAAAACTTCAAAGATCCCGGCGTATGAATCTCTTCTAACAAATTTAGTACAAGAGAAAAGTTAATTGAATATAGAATAGGCTGCGCCAGATATAGTTTCGCCCAATACCACCAATTGCTACAAAGCCAAAACTTCAAACTTCAAACTCGAGCCATGTAATTAACCAGCTTCATCAGATCCAGACTTTCTCATTGATCACATATATTTCCCATGGATCATAT